AAAAAAACAGGACTGTAGGTTGGGTGGAAAGGGAGGCACACTAAGAAAAAAGGTGGGAATCAGCCATGGAAGGGAGACAGTCACGGGGTGGGATGTGGAAGACACTACTGGGTTCTCAGGGACCACAGCTGTGCCCGAAGCTAGGACGAAGTGCTGCCCAATACTATCACAAAAGCTAGAGGGTGCAGCGTAGACAAGTTGAAAAAGGGGCCCTGTGGTGAAAGAGATGCTTCCAGAAGGTGGAGGATGCCTGAAAAGAATGGGGACCCGTCTCCAGACGCCTGACAGTGGAGGAGGGAGGGAGGGATCGAGACGGGAGTCGCGAGGCCACTACAACAGGCAAGACTTAAGGGCAGCCGAAGGGTCTTGCTGAGGGTTCTCGAGAGCAGCGGGGAGGGATCCAGAGGGCAGGAGAGACAAGTGGGATGGGATCCGCCTTATGGAGATAGGGAAGGGTCAGGACCAGCCGGGCCAGGAGTCACCTTAATCGGGGCCATAACTGTGGCGGCGCTGCGGAAACCGCGAGCCCCGTCTCGCTCCCACTCTCTCGCTCCTTCCGATCGCCGGATCGCTACTGCAGCGGCACACTGACGGGCAGCCACTCCACAGAGAACCGACCCCGCCAGGCGGTTTACTGCACCCAACTGCTCCAGCCCCATGCCCACCCACGGCTGCACCTCCCAGAAGGCGGAACCTCTGCTGCACCGCCCCCACTGAGCCAGCGCGCGAGGCGGGGCTTCCAGAATCAGGGTTTATTTGCATTAGGGACTGGGCCATGACGCATTATAAATGGGGCGGGACTTTTAGGGGTAGCGCAGCTCATTTGCGCTCTCTAGATAGGCCTAATTTATGGATATGGCAGTATTTAAACGAAAAAAGAAAACGAGGGACAAAAGATGATAGGCTCCATTGTAGGCCTAACTGATTTATTTAACATTCAACAAGTGCCTCTGCATTGCAGACGTTTTACATAGGATTTGCATTTTACGTATGATTTACAGCAAGTGGGGTTTGGCTTGGGCCGTGGTACCCCCCCACAGAGATACTTCCGGTAGCAGCGCACAACCGGACCAACTAGTTCACTCAGCTCCACTCAACCATGAGAAGTCCGAGCAAGTTCGCCACTTCCGGTACTCCTCGTTGTCCAATAGCACGGAGTGCGGGGCGGCCCCGGAAGTGATGTAAGCGTTGGGAGGCCTTTTCCGGTTCCGGGTTGGCTGGTCCGAGAGTGGCGATATGAAGTTGCTCACTCACAATCTCCTGAGCTCTCATGTGCGGGGGGTGGGTCCCCGTGGCTTCCCCCTGCGCCTCCAGGTAGTGGTTGAAGGGTGTCTCTTGCCCCTTTCCTGGGCGGGATAGAGGCGCTGGCGTTCTGTCTTTGCCTCACGAAACCTCTGCCTCTCAGGCCACCGAGGTCCGCGTCAACCCTGTGGAGTTCAACCCAGACTTCGTGGCGCGTATGATCCCCAAAGTGGAGTGGGCGGCGCTTCTGGAGGCAGCAGATACCGTGAGGACCCTGCCCCCGCTGTGCAGACCTCTGAAGGGCGGCGGACTCACCCTTGTCCCGGTCCCGAGCCCTGCTTGGGGGAGGGCGGGGTGTTTGCGCGCCCAGAGATGATTTGGGCCTCTTGTCCGTAGTTGAATCTGGCGGAGGTGCCCCGAGAGCCGACGGAGGGATATGAACACGATGAAGACTTTCTGAGGAAGATGCACCACGTGCTGCTGGAGGTGAGAACCTGCGATCACCTGCGTCCCCCACCTCTCACTTTTGAGGCTGCTGGTTTAGTTCTGGCCCAACCCCATCCCCCCATAGGTGGAGGTGCTGGAGGGCACCCTGCAGTGCCCAGAGTCTGGACGTCTGTTCCCCATCAGTCGTGGGATCCCCAACATGCTGCTGAATGATGAGGAAACGGAGACCTAACTGACAGACACCAGCCAGCTTGACATTTTGTGACCCTGTCAATATTTGTTGAATATTCTGCCCTCCCATGCTCAGCCCCAGACTTTGACGCAGTGACACATCAAACACAGTGTTCTTGAGCTCCATAGTAATATCTTTTTTTTTTTCTTTCTCTCATTAAAGGTTCAAAACCAAAAGCGGTTTCTTTTTGCAGCAAATATACATTAAAATAGAGTCTCTGTATAGTCAAGGGCTCTGGGCCCTGGCTTTCCCTGTCCCTGCGCCTCCCTTGCCAAACCCAAAAATAAATATAGTGTTATTGCTCTGCAGGGCATAGAGGCAGTGCTCTCCTGACCCCCTGAGGAGGCTAGGTGGGAGCTCATGGGGGGCCCTGGCCACCCCAGGGGTCCAGGGGCTGGAGCCTGCTTGGAGTTATTGCTTTGAGGAGGGGGCACTAATGCCCAATGCAAATGATGAGGATAGGAGCGAAGGGGGCAGGGACCTTTGCTCTCCCAAGTCCCCCTCTACTCTGGAGAGGAAGTCGGATTAAGCAGCAGCAAAAGCATCACCCACTGGGAGACTCTGGGCTCCATCCCCTTCCCTCCCTGAGATCAGGTTTCTGCCTGCCACATCCCCTGCAGCCCACTATGGCTTCCGCAAGGCCCCCTACACTCTTGGGGGCACATTATGGCTTGCAAGGGGCAGCACTGTGCCCAGAGTCTGGGCATTCACATTCCCAGCTCCTGATACCCCCCAAATGGGGGAGAGGAGGGCATGGGGCCTGCTCCCAGGCGCTGATGGCGTTGCCCTGGCCCTGCCAGCAGGCTGTAGCACTGCCCAGACCCCAGTCTGCCCACTTAGGGCTGACCCCATGCTGAGTAGGTCCTGTCAGTGCCCTGACCTGTCCCACCCCTTGCGTCAGTCCATCATGGCCTCAAGCATCTCTAAGAACAGCTTGTGCATGGGAACCTTGCCCTCCAGCTTCACCCCATAAAAATGGGCCAGCACTTTGCCCGCGGTCTGGCGGAGAAGTGGTAGAGTGAGTAGCAGCCTGCCTGCCCGCCGCCTCTCAGCACCCCCTCCAGGGCCAGCCCGACCAGCTTCATACTCCAGGAGGGCCTCATGCAGGGCTTCTCGCAGCTGCTCCACAGCCTCAGCGTCTTCAATGTGCACAGAGTCTGCAAGGAAGGGGCCAGAACTGTTGCCCTGGGCCACCTTAGGAAAGGGCAGAACTCTCAAGTGCTTGAACACTGCAGGATAAGGCCTAAGGAGGGGCCAACTTGGATTTGCTGACTGGCTGATAAAGGGCATCACTCTTCCTGTCCATGAGCCAAGGCCCACCCTTTCTCCTTCAACTTGGCCAACTTTTGTCCTCCCCACCATTCATCCCACTAAACTACCTTTCCACATTAGCATGGCTCAAACTCCTGTGTGCAGTTTGGGACTTCACTTGTTTTGTCACTTAGAAGTCAGTGTTCTTCCCTAGGCCTCAGTTTTCCTTATCTGCAAGATGGGACATCATCAAGGGCCTTATGGGGAGATCTGTGGGTGAGTGCTGGGTGCCCGTCCTGGACTCACCTGAGTTGGCAAGGGCCAGGGCCTTCAGCAAGACATATTCCTCACGCTCCAGCCGTAGGGCCTGCAGGCGCCGTACCAGCTGCAGCAGGGCTGCTCCCAGCTCCCCAAGACCAGCTGCCCGTGCCCCCTCTTCATCCAGGACCAAGTCCTCAGCGAAGGCCAGCTCATCCTGCAGGGGCAGTGAGCGCTGGGCCACACCCAGCACCAGTACCTCCATCCATACACTCTGCAGCACTGACATCTGGTCAGATAGCGACAGTGACGAGAAGCCTGGAGGGCAGTGGGGAGCAGACCTGGCTGAGCAAGTGCCTTAGAGCCAAGGACAACCTAACCTGCTCGGGGAAACACCAGGTCACCTGGGCCCTTTACCTGGGATGCTCTTGGCCCAGCTGATGGTGACCACAATCTCTCGGTCAAAGAGGTCACAGAGGGTAGCCACAGCTGGGAGGTGTCCATCAGGGCCAGCAGGGTCAGGCATGGCATACAGCTTCTCAGGCTCAACCACCAGAAGGTGAGACACCAGAGCATTCACAGGGGCTGCAATGATGGGGAGGATTAATCAGCACTGAGATGCATCAGGCTTCCTTGGGCCAAAGTGTCTTCCCTGGCTGGCCCCCTATGGCCATTCTCCCCAGCCACTGGCAAACTAGGAGATACCTCTCTCCAGGGCAGTGTTCACTACCTCCCAGGGAAAGTCTTGAGTTCCCGGGGAAGGTTGTAGACAGTCCAAGTCTAAGGGTTAGAGAACTTCTCCCTGGTCCCAGCAGTACTATTTGGTCCCCAACACAAAAAGACCCTTTCATAAATACTTTTTAGGAAAATGCTGAGTGAATCCATGAAGGGGAAATATAGGACCTAGTACCCATAATAATGCCAGGTAGGTTTCCTGCCCCAGAGCTCTAGGGACCCACAATGCTCTTACCTGTCTTCCGGGGGCCTCCAGCTACTGCCAGGGGGCCAGCAGGAAAGGGGCCCGGGAAGGGCAGTGGGTCCACCTCTGGCCTCCGCTTGTACTTCTGTCGCCCTCCCCGGACTCGGTCAAGGCGCACCCCTTGAAATGTAGGACAAATGAGTCTGTAGGGCTGGGCTGCGCTTGCTCTGCAGGACTGTTAAGCAGAACAACCCCACACTCAGGCTCCCCCTGCCCCACACAGGACCCTGCCAGTGCTCACCCTCCTTGAGCATGCCCACCCGCAGGCACTTCGTGAAGCGGCAGGCCTGACAGGCCTTGCGTCTCCGCTTGGTGATCTCGCATTCGTTGGAGGCTGGACAGCTATACTCGATGCTCCCTGCCAAGAAGAGCCAGGGCTCCAGTGGCGGTCTCCCCCGGCCTGGAGGGGGCCCAGTGGACAGAAAAGCCCTGACATGCCCCAGGCAAGCACAGGTCTGGGGGTACAGGAAGGAGAGGGAGAGCAGGGTGCCATAAGCAGGGCAGAGAGGGGTTTGGCCACTGGGCAAGGACCCCTGCCTGGACAAGAGAAGGGCAGGGACCAAGTAGCTGGCAGCGTCTCTGATCCAGCCATTCCACCAGACCACACTACCCTCTATGCTGCTGAATCTATTAGTCAATTCTCAGTTCTCATCTCACGTGTCTGAAGGCACATCAAACACATTCATCACATCTTGCTCCAGAAACATTTGAATGCTTCCTTTTTCTTCTAGGACACCTCTCCTCTTTTCCTCCCACCTCTCTGGCCACTTTGTGGTTTCTCTGCATCTCCCCAGTTCCTTCCATTGAAGCTGCCTGGGCCAGCCTTGTACCTCACCCTCACTCATTCCTGTGGCGATCTTACATCACAGGACTTGCCGATTTCTTTTTCTAGCCCAAACCTGCCCAGAGCACCACACTCATGAATCCAGCTGCATCCTGGATATTCTGTACGTCCAGAAGGCTGCTCAAACCTCACACATCCTAAATGGACCCAGACCTCCCCTGCTAAGCATGCAACTGCATTCATCCTGCTGCCCAAACAAACCTGTGTGCATCATTACATCCCTTGCACATCATGTGCAACCTACTAGCAAATCCTGGAGGCTCTGCCTTTTTATCCACCCTGACTGCAGCTCCTCCTGCTGCAACTGCTTCCCCGTGGACTTTTCTTCACCATCACCTTTCACCTTACTGGCCTGCTCAGTCCCCATTCTCTGCACAGCAGCCACAGGGATCCTGAGACCAGTGTCAGCTCCAGTCCCACCTCTGTCAACCCCGCCCCCAGAGACTTTCCCTTGGCCTCACCCACCTTTGTGACCTCCGCTCCCCAGTGTTTCTCAAATAGGGATGCCTCCGGGCATGCAGCTCCCCACCTGGGCTCCTGTCTGGTCCTGCCCTCCTTGCAAGCTACCCTTCTTCTTCACCCCCTCCAGACCTCTGCTCCCTGTCACCTCAGGGAGGCCTTCCCCACCACACCTGTGAAAATGCTAAGTCCTCCTCTGTGGGTATTTCTAGCTAACGAAGTATGCTTTCTCCTGTATCCTCCTCAGGCTTCTGCATTCAGCTTAAGATACCTCCACAGGAAGCCCTCCAGAGCCCCAGATGCAGGCCAGTCCTGCAGTACATGCTTTGCTCCCTGTCTCTCCCAACCTCAGTGGTCAGGACAGCAAAACACAAGTCTGAAAAGCACAGGGCATTGGGGGCTGCCTGGGGTCAATCCTGTCACTACCATGGACAAACTGTCACATTGAGCAAATCTCAGATCTAACCCTTAGGACCTCAGTTTTCCCAGCTGTGAAACTGGCATGATAAAAATCATAGTAGGAGCTGAGGTTGATGATATATATCTGTAATCCTAGCACTCTGGGATCCTGAAGAAGGAGAAACACAAGTTCAAGCCCAGCCTGGGCAACTTAGTAAGATCCTGACACAAAGGGCTGGGAATGTAGCTCAGCATGAAGGTCCTGGGTTCAATCCCCAATAACACACACACATATATACAACTCACTATGTAGCCTAGGCTGGCCTCAAACACAGTGATCCTCCTGCTTCAGCCTCCCAAGTGCTGGGATTACAGGCATGTGCCACCATATACAGCTCTCAGTAAATACTTGTTGACAGCTGAACAAGGGACTCCAGTGTGAGTGGGGAGATGCCTGAATTGGCCCTGCCTCACTGGTCTTCAGAGCCAGCAGGGAACACAGTTGTAGACTAATTTATCTCAGCCAACTCAGAACTCACTGGAAGGTCACAATCAGTGGTCCAAAGTTCAGTTATTAGTTCTATGCAGAGGCAGCAGCCTGGCACTTTAAGAACTCAGTTCTGGACCTACGTCAAATCCTGGTTCTACCATTTTCTACCTGTCAGACTTGAACCAAGTTTCAAGAACCATTCTAGGCCTCAACTACAACAATGCTGAAGTAACACTGTGAGGTACAGTCACTGACACAGTAAACACTCAAGAAAATTTTTTTCACTATACTTGCTATACACCCCAAGGTAACCAATGACCACATAAAAACAACTAATAGGCCAATCCCAGGTAATGTTTACATTAACATCTTGCTCAAAAGCTTGAAGTTTGGTTTGCTATGGGGGGAGGCTGGGGGTACAGTGCACAGGGATATGGATTAAGCTCAGGACCTTGCATAGATAGGCCAGGCAAACACTCTACCTCTGAGCTACATCCCCACCCCCTTTTAAATCTTATTTTGAGACAGTCTTAAGTTGCCCAGCCTGACTTGCAGTCCTCCTGCCTCAGCCTCCTGAGTAGCTAGGATTACAAGTTTTCATAAGCATACCAGTAAAATAAGTGACGTTTAAGAGCAGAGACTCTTGACGTGGAAGCACAGTCTTGTCATCCCCCCAGTAGGGAAGTTGAGGTAAGTATATTCAAGGCCAGCTTGGGCTACAGAACAAAAGGCTGTCTCCAAAAACAAACATAAAAGAGCAAGGATTCCCAATGATTCTTTTTTGTTTTGATGTTTTTCTGTTTTGGGGGGTTGTTTATTTGTTTGTTTGTTTGAGACAGGGTCTCACTATGTAGTTGAGGCTGACCTGGAGCTCCCAGGCTGGTCTCGAACTCACAGCGATCCTTCTGCCTCAGCCTCCGAGTGATGGGATTACAGACGTGCACCACCATGCTGGGTGTTTTTCTCTTTTTTGAGACAGGGTCTCACCATGTAGTCCAGGCTGGCCTCAAACTTGCAGTGAGCCTCCTGCCTCAGTCTCCGAAGTGCTGAGATTATAGCTGTGTACCACATACTCGGTTCCCTAACAATCTTTTTAAAGTCAGATGCTAAAATATGATGTAGCAGCTGGCTGTCCTAGTACATGCCTATAATCCCAGAACACAGGAGGCTGAGGTAGGAAAATAAGCATCTCCAACAGTTTGAGGCCAGCTTGGGCTACTAGTGAGTTCAAGGCCAGCCTTGAACAAGACTGACTCAAAAAAAACAAAAATAAACAAATAAATATACAAATTTTTTAATAGGCTGGAGGTGTTGCACAGTGTGAAGGCCCCCCTCAGATGCCCATAAAAATCTGCCTTTCATTGGTGCTGCTTTGAGAAAATTAAAAGAGTCATGTTCTATGCTAGGAGAGGTCAGCAGTTGACAGAAGAACAAAGTCAAGAACAAAGATTTGGAATTTTTCAAAGCCACCGTCCAAGGTACAATAACTCTAAGGCACCCAGGAATCCACCTTACACCTGTGTCACCTCACATCCCATTCAACCCATTGACAGGTACTGGTGGCTCCCATTTTTATGAGATACAAGGGCCTGGGAGCCCCACACTGCCAACCTCATGCAGTACCTGGGCAGGCACAGAGGCTACTTTACCTATCAGTTACCAGCTGGGAGGTGACAGGCTAAGGGTACAGGGCAAAGGGCACAGAATAGAAGTGGGGGCTCACCCTGGATGGTCCTCTTGAAGAAGGCTTTGCAGGCCTCACAGGATGCCACACCGTAGTGGTAGCCAGAGGCCACATCCCCACAGACCAGGCAAAGGCGTTTGGGCAGGGAGCTGAGCACCAGCTTTCCACTGCCCTGCTCACCAGGCCCAGCCCCTTCCCCATCCTCCTCCTCTTTGTGCCCCGGGAGGCAGCGGGCAGGAGCTGGACCAGGAGCCAGGGTCACAGGGGGCTCAGTCTCGGTCTCTGAGGAACCCTTTGGACTGTCAGGGCTGGCTGGCTCTGCTTTGATATACAGAGGCTCAATGCCCACCACCTGGCTGGACATGGCGCTGGTCACCTGCAGGGAGAGACCATCAGGTCACAGAGAGGCAGAGGGATGGGGGATGGGGAGACATGCTGCCATATGAGTTGCCCAACCCTGGGCCTGGGCCAGGCTTCCAGGCTCAGCCAGGGGAAGAAGGGGGGCAGAGTCCAAGGAAGGATTGCCATGAAGCCCCCCCGCAGCTGCTGCCATGGGAACAGAGTCTCCAGGGCCTCCAGGGCACTGACAGTAGGTCCTCTTGGGAACCTGAGAGAGGTGTGGAAAGGCCCCCTCCCACCCAGGCCAGAGAGCACGGTAACCTCAGTACCTAGTCAACCTCCAACCCCACCTAGAACACCTTTCAGATTTAGAGTGACCTTACTGATCTCCCCCTCATCTAAGTACTCTCTCTATTCAAGAGGGCACAATGATCCACTCAGGCCTAGGCGAAGCAGAGGATAGGCTCACCCGTGTGTTCGCACCCACATCCCACTCACCTAGGTTCTCAGGCGATCACACACACACATACTCTGCTGAGAGTTTTCACATTCTAATACCCAAGTCCTTATTCTCATACTTGTCTTCACACAGTCCTCCCAAAGGACATCCTCCATAAACACACACTAAAGACTCAATCCCACACATCTCGCAGGGTCTCCACAGGCACATACCGTGGCATAGACTCCTGTGAGAAAGAACAGCCTCTCACTTAAGACACGCCGCCCCCTCCTGCCCCAGCATGCCCAGTTCCAGCCACACCACCGGGTGTGGCTCCACCTCCTTGCACCCCAAGCATGCCGCAGAGTCCACCACTTCATGGGGCGCCCCACCCCCTAACCTGCGCACACCTATGCGAAGTTACCCAAAGTTGCTATCCTCCCCTCCCCCTCCTCCTGCGGGGGACCTCTATCAGGTTATCAGGAAGTAAATGAAAAGAGCTGAGGAGGAAGAAGTTCTCCCCAACCGCTGCGGTGACCTTTGACCCAGAGAGGAGGGTGGCCCAGTCCCCTTCGAGCGCCCCCACGTGGTTCTCAGAGCCCTTTCCCAGAGAACCCTCCCCTCCTTCCACCCCAGCCCGCCCCAGGGACTTCGGCTCGCCCCAAGCGCCGTATTGAACCCTGCCCCAAGGCTAGATCCGAGGCCCCAGGCTGAGCGGGGCCGGGCCCCGCAGTACGAGGCCGGCCGGACACTGACCCAGGCCGGTCCTCCGGGAGCTAGACGCAC